ATATATAACTAAGCCATGCCCGATTATCTAGTAAGCAATTTCATGTCATTCGCCCCGAGGATTGTCCCAGAAGATCCACTAAATAATTTAAATAATTACTAAACTCAAAATCGAATTATTAAAATAAACAAATTGATCAAAAATATAATTTTTTTTTATATAAAACATGAAAAGCCTGTTTGCAAGTTTAAACCAATTTCAGAATTTGCTCGTGTGGAAAGTTTCACAAAATCGCGCGCCGCGGGCGAATGTTTTTCTTCTTTCCTTTTTTTTTTCGTGAGTTCTAATTGAACTTTGGTTGTATTCAGATTAACATTACAGTTATGTGTGCATCGCGTAACCATAGCAGGTACATACATATACATATGTGAGTACACATAACATACGAACGTACATCGTATCAGATCACATAACGGTTACCAAGCACTATTGGTCTTTGTCAAAAGCTTACGTCATGCTGGCAACTGCTGCTGCTGCTGCTCTGCTTAGCTGCTATTCTATTAAATGGAACACGCAACAACACGCTTAAAGAGCCATCAAGCCACACACACACAAACAGGTGGGCATATGTGTGTGTGTGTGTGCGATTGCTAGTTGATTAAGCAACTGTGTGTGGTGGCGATTAAAGTGCACTGGACACTCAACACATTTGCATTTGCACACACGCACATGCACACACACACACATGCACACATGCAAACAGTTGTGAAAAGTGTGTGCTATGCCACGACCCCCCCCCCCCCCACGCCAGTTGGTAGCTCGTCTCGTCTGCTTTGGAGTTGATGGAGTAGCAGAGTAAAGCTTGTCGTTTGCCATTGCGTATTCAAATTGAAATTGAAAAATCGCATATTGCATGCAATTGAAATCGAAGTGTCAGCAGCAGCACACACACGCACAGAGTGACAGAGTGACAGAGAGAGAGAGAGCGAGAGAGGGAGAGCGAGACTGAGAACGTTAGTTATGTTGGTGTTGGCGTAATAAAGCGTGTGGGCGTCGTGTTGCGTTTAAGCGCTTGAAAATATGGCCAAAAACATTGCATAACAGTGACACACACACACACAGGCACACGATTGTTATATGTGCATGTGAAAGGCATAATTAAGTCGCTCATTAATGTCAAAGCCAAACCAGACAGACAAACAGACAGAGAGACAGCCAGGCAGCCAGGCAGTCGAGGCCAAGCTCTGGCTCTTCACTTATTGATATGCTGCCAAAATTTCCACAATTGGACAGCTCGCAAGAGCTGCGGTTGCAGGGGGCGGTGTGAGGGGGGTGTCAGCTGTCATACGCACCTTGAAAAGCTGCCTCCTCGGGCTCCACAATGTTGCTGCCGTTGGCCGCCCAGCTCAGCGATAGCAGGAGCAGGCAAATGTGTAGCAGGCGTGACAGTCGATGAGGTCCTTGCTGCAGTTGTTGTTGCTTTGATGTGAACATTTTCGCACGAAATGTTGCTGTTGTTGTTGCTGCTGTTGTTGTTGTGGTTGTTCCTTGTTGTGTGGCTGGTATGTTGCCACTGCTGCTGCTGCTGCTGCTGCTCCAGAAACTACGCTGGTTAAGTATACGCACAGTTCACACGATCGTTGGCCGTTTTAGACGACTTCGGCCAGCAGCCAGCGCTGAGCATTGAGCGTACATGCGTCTCGACGTTGCCTCTGCGACTGCGACGGCTCCCTGTTGATATATATCAAGCACAAGCATAGCACAAGAGCAATTAGTAATAGTAAAGGTGAAAAAGAGAAAGAGAAACAGAGACAGAGAGAGAGAGAGAGAGAGAGAGAGTGAGGAAGCGTGAGGGAGGTAGGCCAAAGGCGCAGGCAAATCAAGTGGTCATTATAATATAACCACAAATTGCTAAACACGCAACGCACACGGACTCACACAAACATGATTCATGGCTGTTGCCTGATGGCTCTTGCCACATGCCGCATGCCACTTGGCCCCGCTACCGCTCCCCCCGTGCCGCTCTTTCCCTTTGCCAGTTGCTAGCAGCCGTAAAATCAATAAACACCGTCATGGCAACGCCACCACAACAAATACTAATAGTAGACAATGTGCCTCATTCTCTACAATTTGTTACCATTTGGCTAAGCCACTCCTACAAATACATACATATATACGGTGTATATGTATATATCTACATCTGATGATCCCGTGGCCCTACCTTAAGCCAAGTGCCTTGGGGCAAATGCATGTAATTAGAAATCAATACGACAATTGGGCAAATTGTGTATAAGACAGTAAAAGCTGAAGCAGCTGCAAAAATAAAAATGTAAAGCCAAAGGACATTTATTTAACCAATTCCCATTTCTGATTTTTTCTTTGACATTTTATCATTTTCGTTGGCCAATCGAAATTGAAATGTCAAATGTTGAAAATCAGGCTGGAGCTGACGAAGTCTCTTAGGCCGGGTCACAGACCCAAACACACACACACACATACGCACGCACGCATATGTAAAACTTTACATATAAATATATATCAGAATTTGTATGCGTATGTGTATGTGTATTTGGTACACACACTCATGCGTGGCACTTAACCCGTGCTCAAAAAATATGTAGCATACTTACTGGGGCAAAAATTGCAGCCACAGCATGAAATCTTTCTTCATTGCTACAGCTATTTGACGTTGCGGCTGCTCTTGATGTTGTTGTTGTAGTTGGTGGTGATATACCCTGGGAGCATAATAGCCGATTGGGTGAAATCAATTGATAGCTAAAATCTTTTTCTTGGCTAAATAAATTAAAGTCTAGCATAAAATTTGTTATTTATGTGCACTTAGCATACTAATGAATAATGTTAAGTAAATTTACAGTTATGTTAAAAGCAAGTCTTACATTACGTACTCTCTGCAAACGTAACCTTTAACAAGCAACTGTTATTAACAGCAATGATCTCTCATTCAAATTTCTTACTAGTCTCTTTTTGTCCGTTTATTCCCTAGCAAACTGTTATTTAACATCGCCATCTACTAAACATAAAGGCACGCAATGTTAACAGAGCAACACTTGACTAAAAGAATGATAGTTAACATTCAAATTTACTGAAAATGCCATTTTCTTAACAGCAATATTTTCACATTTAAATATACTATAAAATGCAGTAATATATGCAAATTGAATCTTCTTAATGCAGTTCTTTTGATTTCCGGCGAATCACAATGCCAAATTGAATTATAGGGTATTTTAATATTGAGCATGCCCCACTGTAGTAACTCTTGTTGTTTTTATTTTTACTTTATTTTTATATCAAGTTTTGTATGCCTGCGCTTAAAATCGCGACGTCTGCCGCTGACTCGGCCCATGGGGCGTGAATGTGGGCGTGGGCGGGTTGCTGCTGGGCTGTGAATGAGTGGGTGTGTTTGTGTGTGTGTGTGTGCGCGCTATGTGTGGGTGGTTGGGCTACGTTTACGTGTGTGCGTGTGTTGTTGTTGTTGTTGCTGCGGCTGTGTGCGTTGCTGTGCGTGCAAAAGTTTTGCAAGTTGGACTTTGGTAGGCCAACATCCACAAACAAAAAAACAAAAAACTAAATAAAATAAAGAGAAAAAGTGAAAAAAAAAAAAAACATTTTGCCATTTGTACTGTCTCGAGTTTTTGGCTGTTTCAGAGTCGACCAAATGTTACCGTATTCATTTATATCGATTTTTCCACCTTGGCTATTTGCACTGAAGTCTTAAGCACGCACACTAACTAACCCATACACACACAGACTTTGACATACTACCAAAGGCTCACACACATACTTTTTGATATGTTTTTGTACTCTCTCTTTCTCTCTCTCAACGTTTGTTTTCATTTGTCTTTCATTTCATTTCGGTAATATTTTTTTCAATTTTGTTGTTTTTTTCTCTTTTCTGATTTTGTTGTTGCTTTTGCATTTTTATTGCGTTTTTAATGGCATTTCTTTCCGGTACGACGCCTCCGAATAGCCAGCAAATGTTGAAGGCTGTCGCACAAGCTCCAGCCCCAGTTTCAGCCCCCAGCTTTAGCTTTCAGTTTTGGCATCAGCTTTGGCCACAGAGCCAGAATGCATACATTTAACTAGGCTGGGATGTAGCTGGGATGCCCATGTGTGTGTGTGTGTGTGTGTGTGTTTGATGTGGGGCATGTGGCATGTGGCATGCGGCACATGAAAACTCATTATTCAGGTAAACGCAGCCAAAAAAGAAATAAAGTAAAGTAAGGAACGTGCGCTCATTTGGCTGGAAAATTTTACAGCAGTCCAAGTTGTTAGTGGTAAGTGGCAAATGGCAAATGGGTAAGTGGCAAGTGGCAAGCGGTAAGTGGCAAGTGGCCATTTGGGCGCTTTAGACTACGCTTTCGGCCGCAGGCCCCAACTAATTAGAGCAACACATTGATATTGCCTCCAAAATCAAAATTAATGACACTTAGTCGCAGTCTCCGAACTGCTGCACTGGCCGACATCAAGTTGATCAACCCAATTATGCGGCTAATGGCACTAAATTAACGTCGAGTGGCATTGATTTAATTACACAATTATCCTCCCCATCAGCTATCTGTCTAAATGCACAATAAACGAGACGGAATGTTACAAATGTAATTCTCTAGTTAATTCGACTCAAAAGTATGCTACTATTCTATGACCTTCTCTTCCACTACTATTCGGCGTTTTCCTTCCTTCATTTATTTTCATTTGTCCTTGGCACTCCTCTATTTTTTGCTCCTCTCCCGCCTGTGCAGCTCTTCTCTTCTCTACAGTATGCTCGTTTATGTCTCTATTTTTAATGGCACTTCTGTTTCTCATATATTTTACCCTCTTCTATTTGTTGCTCTTTTCTTAAACACTCTTTTATTTTCTTTGTCCTCAGCAGATTTTCTATCTCTCTCTTTTACTCTTATGACTTGGATCGTCTCATCTTTTCAACCCCTTTTTATTTCAATTCTGTCTATTCTATTCTCTTAGCTTTATATTTATACTGTTCTCAAATATTTTTTATTAAATATTACTCCCCTTATCTTCAATTTTCCATTATTTCCATTCATTTGACTTCTGTTCTTTTTGTTTTTCTTTTTCTTCTCTTCTCCTTTACTCTATACATTTTACTCAATTAATAAGATTGCAACCAAGATCTGAGCAAATATTTTATGACAGTTTTACCTGAAGTTTTTAGAAAGTTTATGAGAATACATACAAACGTAAACTCATAATATTTTCTTGTTTTTCTTCTCCAGCAAACAAAGGGAAGTGTTGGAAAGAGTGTTGGGCAACAAGAAATGACAATTGGGCAATTGAAGCTCACTTGAGTGCCACAGTGAAAATCATAACTAATGGCAATAAAACTTGTTTGTGTGGTAAAAATAACTTTTTATTGTATAAATGTTATGTGATATGCAGAAATGAGGAACAATTTTGAAGTTACATGTATAAGAGCTGAACGTGAAGTTATAAGTTTATTGGCACTTAGAATTTGTGACTCAGAAAAGTTTTATTTTAATCAATTGTACTGCGTGACTACTATTTTATAGCTCTTGTTCTTCTTTCTCTAATTACCTCTTATTATATATTTAAAACTATCCTCTACTTTTATACAGCATTGACTAATCTTATAAGAACTATTTTTATGTTAATAAAATTTCTAGTTCATTTGCTTTAACAGCACTGTTAAACTCATACGTCACTTTTCGCTTAACTCTTACTTGCAGCAATCCTTTTCAAATAAGCCTCTGCTTAGACTATGCTATTGCTTTCTAGCTGCTGTATTGATTAGCATACAGCTTTTCTGTAAAGTTACAGTTTAGTTCCCGTTGTATGTTGAAGACTCTCGAAGATTCATTTACTCACTTTTTCTTTCTTCGATCCTCAGCTTATTAACATTTGGCCTCGCAGCTTAACAGCATTAATATGTATGTGTAGGTACTTGAATATGTGTGTGAGTGCGGCGCTTATCTAATTGTGACCTAAATCGCACAAAGGACCCATTATCTATTATATCTGCTGAACAATGAACTGAAACTACAACTTGATTAGCTGAAACAAGCGAAAAACACACGAGACCAAACCCTATCTTATATGCGGGCTATTCTATAGTATAAATTATTGATTTAAAACTACAGCAAGGCCAACTGCCAGCAGCGAACAGCTAACACAGTACAAATTATATCCTAGCCTCTCCAATGAGTGCTTACTGTTTGTGCAGTTCTTGTTGTTTTTGTTTTGTTTTGCTGATGATTTTTTGTGTTGATGTCACGCAAAACTTAATACCCAAAGCCAATACGAAAAGCGAACGGTAAATATACGCACACACACACACATACACACTCATACATAGACGTACATAAAGAAATAAAACAAACAGGGAGCATTAAAGTCAATGAGCGCAAAAAAGAGAGAGGAGCTTTTGTAACAGACAAAACTACAGCCGCCGCCGCAGCAGCAAAAKAATCAACAGCAACAACAACAACAGAGCTAACAGAAAATAACCGCAAAAGAAAAATCGTTAAAGCAGCAATAAATTGTGTTTTTATAAGGTAAATAGAGCAAAGCCCGTTGAGAGCCAATTGAAGGCAGACCACAAAATACAAACAGAAAACAGAACAAGAAAAAAAGAAACAGAAAACAGAAACAGAACTGAACAGCCAGACAGAGGGACATTTTGATGGGAATGTGAGGCGTTCCTTGGGGGCTGCTTGGACCGAGCAGCTCACGCATGACAGACTGACCCAAGTTACGGCCCAATCAGACGCACACAAACACACACACACTCATGCATATAAYGTAAAAGTTTGGCGCGCGTTTTTGTTGTTAAATTCTTAACGTTTGACATGCGTCTACGTATAAATATGTGTCTGTGTATCTGCGTGTGTGCCTGTGTGTGTGAGCGCGTCTCTTGCGCCTAATTTATGGCAAATTCACAGGTGCGCATATTACTTGCGCCCTGTCAAAGACGTCGCGCTGAGCTCTACAACAAAAGCAAACAGCAGCAGAAAGCAATTTCAAGCAAGGACTAAAACAAAAGAAGCTACATACACACAAGCACACTCAAGCTGAGCTGTAATGTAAGAGTAACAGCAACAGAACGTGTCGTGCGTGTGTGAGTGTGTGTATGCGTGTGGCTATTGCAGCCGCAGCTTTGTGTAGCTATATGTTTGTGTGAGTGAGTGCTGGGCGACATTATATCAAAGACATTTGACTGACTGCAAAATGGAAGTTGGCAAACGAGTGTAAGAGAGAAAGTCAGTGACAAGCAAGAGAGAGAGGGAGCGAGAGCGAGAAAAACGTCAACATAGCGAACATTGCCCGGGCCGAATGCGTTCTTTGAGTGCAACCAGCAGGCAAAATTGTCAAATATAATATATGTAAGTATATATAAATGCACACTTACATATATGCATAGTACAACAGTAGTTCTTATATTTAATTCGCTCCTCTTGCTCTGCCGCTTTCCCGCCGCTCTACGTAGTGCTCAAGTGCCACTTTAAAGTGCGCTCTTGCTTGCCTAACATAAATTTCCATTATTTCATTTCGCCTCGTTTCTCCAACTACAACAACAACAACAACAACGTTTACTACTCACTTGTATTGGCTCTGCTTTTTGGCGAACGTCCGCCTCGTTGACGGCGACGTCGTCTTCGTCTTCGTTGATTTCTGCTGCTTTATTTTCGGCGTTCAGCGATTTTCGTGGTATTTACATCAAAGCACACGCACTCACACACGCACACGGTCACACACACGCACAATCTCTTATGATGTCTTTCACATTGCACATTCGACTCTTGTACAGCCGACGTTTTTTCTTCACACTTGACACCTCATTATTTATTTATGCAAATTTCATATAATTATTTTGTTTTAACTTTCTTTTTTTCCATCCAACTAGCTGTTGTTGTAGCGCGTGTGTGTGTGTATATGTTATATTTTGGTTGTATCCTGCGAAAGATTGTCTCTGTGGCGGCGCCGTTCCGATAGCCGTTTCTGTGGAGCGTTTACGTTTTTACACTCTAATTGACGGGAGACTACTGCGCGTATCGAAGCCGTTGCTGATTGGAACGAAGCGAAACTCTGCCAGAGTGGAGAGCAAGAAGCATGCTAGCGCAACAACAACAGCGAACGAAACACCTTTGCCAGAGAGAATGACAGTTGCGTTGTTGTTGTTGGTCTTAAAGTGCCCAAATCGCGTTCGTAGTATCCGTTAGTTGATTATCCGAGTATGTAAAGAGGCGCCAAATATGAACGAACACAGGCTATCTCGGGGTAGTTTAGGGTAGTCGAAAGACCTAAAAATTTTAAAAATTAGCAATTATTTTAAAACAGTCAAAATATTATTATTTGTTTTTAAAAAAGAATCTTGAAAACTTAATTTAGATTATTGTATTTGATTTAAACTTTTTTTTACCTATAAATTTAGTAAATATAAAGTGTTAAACAAATCGGGATAATAACCACTAAGTTGTGTTGACAGCCCTTTTTTTTCGTATGTAGCTTCTGCTTCCTCCTTCCATGCTCTCAGCTGCCACCTTCTACCCAAGAGAGCGCATTCGCTATGGCGCCTGCGCATGGAACGCAATGAAATTGAAACATGCCAAACATTCCGGGCTCAAGTTACAACAACAGCGCTCCAAGAGCTGTCAGCGCCAGTGACAGCGGCACTATGTTAAACAACATTTTGTTGTTGCTGTTCTTGCCAGCGAACTTAACATCACAATAAACACCTACCAGCAGGCAATCGACACTTGAAGGCACACACACACGAACGTACATACATATGCTTAAGCCTTTCAAATAGAAAGGACGAGACGAAGGGCAGCAAGTCAGCAATGACAGCTGATCAGGTTGCAGGGGTTGTTGTTGTTAATGTTATTGTTGTTGTTGAAAATGACAAAAGAAATGAAAAACAAAATAAAACTGAAGTGTGGGCAAGAGCTTAGGCTGCTAACTCCTGTGGGCTGTGTAACTGAGACTTGACCATGTGAACATGTTGTTGTTGTTACTGTTGTTGTTGTTGTTGCTGCACTGGCAGTCAACTTTGCTAATGACCAGGCCCGCCCACCATTCGTGGACCCTTTGACAATGCGCTGCTAAGTCCTTTGCCTTTGCCAGCGGCTCTGCCTGGCCAAAAGGGCAAACCCCATGACATGACACACAGACAGGAGTGTTGTCTCTGTGTGTGGGTGTATGTGTGTGTGGGTGACTGAGTGAATGTCTCTGTATGTGACCCTCTCCCTCTCTCTCTCTCTCTCTGTGTGTGTGTGTGCTTTATGTCTTTTGTGCAAGGCTTAGTGGGTGCTGCAACTGCCGCCCCACTTCGTCACTTGCAGCAAATGAGGCATTAATATCCAAGAGCCATGCTCCTGGCTGGCTTCCATGTTTTCTTCCACCTCCTCCAGCGCCTCCTCGCCCACTCCTCCCCTCTTCTGCGCCTTGCTCGAGTATGTCAGCGCAAATATTAGTATTCCACTTCAATGCGAGCATTTTGTAATGGAAAGTGTTGCCGTCTCCTGCGCCGCATCCATCAAGATGTCAGCCAGGCGCAACTAATGTGTCACATTACAAATGTGTCGCCACCTGACAACAGCAACAGCAACAACAACAACTCACATACACACTCGTTGGCAACTCAATAACAAAAGTATTAACTGCTCGTCCTGTCAACACATCGTCAAAGCAATAAAGCTGCATTTTATTCAGTTATCAAGCAGTTAATAGAAAAGCAGCAAAAGCAACGCCAGCAGCAGAGGCAGCAGCAGCAGCAGCAGTAAATTACATCAGCATTAATGCAGCAGCAGCAACGCATTTATGTAGAACACAAGCGACAAGTCCTTAATATGCTCCTTCTCCTCCTCCTGCAGCTCCTGCTCCTGCTGCTGCTGCTGCTGCTGGTTCTCCTCCTTCTGCCAGCTGTCAATTTCCATCACATTGCGCCAGTTGAGGAACTCATTGTAGCCCCAGAGACCACAAATAGTTGCTGCAATTAATCATTATCCATTAGACCCATATACTAAAACTAATAATGCCTCTGGCATTTACCTTGCTCCAGATAGAGATCCTTGTACTTGCCCATGCCCAGCGCCAGGCTGCGTATCGCATTTTGTTCGCCTAAGATCTCATTGCAGTGTCCCTTCGCCAGCTCCTCGTACAGCTGGGGCGGGCTCAGGCGGGGCGCACATTTGTGATGCTGCAGCATGTAGAGCAGAAGCACCCTATAAAGCAACGGAATCCATTAAGTTATTATATTTAATATGCTTAACTGCCAATATACGCTGCAAGTGTTGGTAAATGGGAAAGCAATGGTATATAACAGGAGTATATAACTCTGTAATATCTTTATAGTGCTATAAAACTCTATATAGGACATACTCTGTAAAGTTCGAAAATGGGAGAGGTATATTATATATATAGAGCGAGGTAAGAGGTGCTAGATCGGAGTCTGTCAGTCAACTATATAATAATATCTAGTGTAAGTAGTGATATACGATAATAAATATAATATCTAGGCTATATATAGAATCTTTTTTAATCTACAAATACATATATGCCCTTTCAATAGTAAAAAAAATAGCTCTGCACAAGAAATATACAAACAATATACCCGCCAATAAATATCAATATTTACAGGGTATATCATAAGCAAATATCTCGTTTTGTATATGTATCCAATAGAACTAGAACTCATATACTCACTGATGAGTGCGCTGATAGCCATAGGCTGGCGCCTCGCTGGTCAGCAGGTCCAAGCAGTTCAGACTCAGCTTACACCGGCTCGTATCCAGAGTGACTATATCACGCATGCAGAGATCCGATTCCGTTCTATTCGGCGAGCCCTGGCTGACGAGGCTGTCATAACTCATAGCCAGCTGCTCATATTCAGCATTTGCATTCAGTGCGCCATATCTGCAAATAAGAGAAGTAGTTAAGAGATCAAGATAAAAGAGCCGGAGGACTAAATTATGCAAACCTACTTCAAGCTGGGTGGCAACAGCAAAACATTGCGCTGAAAGGCGTTTCGCAAAACTAAGTGGAATAAGCGGGGAAACTGTGAGAGAAAATGTCTAATTAATTTTGTACAACATTTACTTAGCTCCTGCACTGGATTAAATTCGCCTGGATTTTTACAGCTTGCCAGCTGATTCATTTTATGCAGCAGTTGATAATATAATTGTCTATCGTATCGTGTGGGCGTTATGTATCTCATTTTCTCTGCAAAATTATGCGGCATAAGCCGAAATTAATGATTATTTATGACACATACACACACACTCACACATACATATTTATGTATGTGTGCACGGGTCATTGGGCTTACGCTTTATCAGAAATTCGGCCAACAACAAAGCGAACTTGGCGCTTGCATTGAGTTTCCTGCCACAGGATAATTGATGGAGTAAACTGTGGATGCGTTGCGGCAATTGTTGCCCAGATCCGGCTGCTGGTACGGCACCAGCCACTTGCAGCTGGCTGAGGATGCCACAAATTGTGGCAAGTGTTGCGATTTTCAAACAAATATTAGCGAGCAGCAACATGTTGTTCGAAGCACCAATTGGCATCTATGCCGGACTCGACTGCCGGCCCCATCGAAATCACATCGCATTCAGTTCTTTGATTTCACTCGCCTTATGAAGATTAATTGGCTGATATTTGTTCGGTGCGACGCGTAGGCGTTGAGCGCCTGTTTGGTATATCGAGTGTGCTAGTGGGCGGTCTCACTGGTACGCAATATTAAGTTTCGCATATTAATCACAATTTAAAACTGAATACATTACATTGATGGACGAAAGGACTAAGATAAATAAATACAACTCTGCTGAAGTAAGCAATGTATATGAACACACTTGTTTGTTTATTTGTGTTTTTATATGTAATCTGTAACTGCAATGAGCAGTTTTTTTATATACAATCAAAACAGCCTATTTCGACTTAAATCATTAATAATCATTTACCACTGCTCATTTAACATTTCAAAAAATCGCGCCTAAACATCGTTAAAATTAACATCGAGAATCGAAAACACGTAGAAAATTGTTATCGATGACCTGTTACCATCACGAAAGTACTGCTGGTGAGTACGCAGCTCAGCTGTGCAAAAGTCTAAAGCAATAACATTTGCTTTGAATAGTGACATATATATTAATGTCAAAATATATATATATGCAAGCTTTTTGATTAAATGTGTTCTGAAATAATAAAAAACTAAAATTAACGCGAATTCAACAAATAAATAGTGTAAAACAACTCATTTTATGTGCCCACCAAATACACAAATTTTACTAGCATTCGCCAAGCTGTTTTTGTGAGCAGCGTACCATATGTAAAGTTAACAGTCTCATACATGTGTTAACATTGCGTTAACAGGCGAATGTTTTTTACATCAGACTGTCTTTTGTCTTTTCTTTGTGAAAATTAGTAGTACTTTAGTTTAATTCGAAATACTAATTAAATACACTAATGTCGGACAACCAGGACAAAGAAGAAACATTGGCCAGTTTCCAGGTAAGAAATGCAGCATCAATTGACCATCAGACGCAGCAAACTTCTGTTATTATTTGTGGCCCAAACGAGTGCTGAGTGCGCACATTTCCAATGCGTATGTTGTGTGTGTCTCACTCTGTGTGTGTATGTGCAAGTAAGGGAGTACGYGTATGTGTGTGTGTGCTTATGTGCCTATGTGTAGGTGTCTGCGTCTTGGACTTGCAATCAGTTTGAATCCAAACAAAACTAAATTTTAATTCAATGTCACAGATTATAACTGGAATAGAGGATGTTGGCGAGGCCTTCTCCCACCTGGAGTCGTCCAATTGGGATCTAGTGGTAAGTGCGTCATACAGTATACAAATGCGTACCAATTTAATTGCGTTGTTTGTTGTCTCATTCCGGTCATGTTCTAGGAGGCACTCAGCCGCGTCATGCCACACGATGATGCGCCACTGGCCAATCCCATACACACGCCGGAGCCCTCAGCGCCAGATCCGGTGGCGGTCGCCTCAGCACCATCAAATTCCAATGGCTTCAGGTCATTCAATTTCGACGAGCAACCTGGACCCTCGCAAGGTGCCCGCTTGTTTCCAAGTGAGTAAACATGTGAATTTGCCATTGTAAATTGCTTTCTACATATATATTTGTATGTCTCCCATTATAGCCTCACAAATGCTGGCCCAGCTGACATCGAGCATTAACTTGGATCCACCCAGGCAGAATAATAACCAAAATCTCCTAACATTCAATATACACTTCAACCAACAACTCTATAAAATCTGCATGCAACCAAACGCAACTATAGGTAAATGATTATCTACGTTTTCTTAATGGAATAGTAATAATTCGATTTCCCTTCCATCTCTGGCAGAACAATTGAAACGCAAGATCTTTGACGTAACAAATATGCCACAATGCCGTCAGGCCTTACGCGGCTGGCCGCCGTCCAGAGCAAGCGAAGCACAAATACCAGAGACGCAGTTAGGCAATTTAGATTTACCGCCCGTCAGCGACCTCATACTTGTTGATCTAACCGATGATGGTTTCATGGACACAGAGCAGTAAGCATGGCACAGCTCCACAGCACAGTCGAACTCCAATCGATTCTCATGTATATATATTTATTAGGGATGAGGTTACACAGCGATTGGATAAAATGTACAAATTGCACATTGTGGAAGAGGGCGGCACAGAGGCTCGCAGGCTCACACTTAATTTTCCCGGACGCACCACCATCCATGAACTGAAAACAAATGTTTACTACATTACCAATATACCAGTTAGGCATCAGGAATGGTCCGGCTGGCCGAGCGGTTGTGATAATGATACCAATTTAGCGGTGTGTTTTGTATTACGTTTCTATATATAGCATATATAATTGTTTACTTTGTCTATTCTCTAATCACAGCAATCGGGCATTGAGCAAACGCACGAATTTGTAATACGCAACATTGCGGATCGATCATCAAATAATTCCAATTTGCTGGCCAACACGTACGAAATATTCAGTTTATATTTATACAAAATATATTAATCATCTTTTTGCCTCTGCAGAGAAATCGTAGCTCTCGACAGTGAAAGTTCAGCTGATGAGTTTGAGGATGCCACAGACTTTAACAATTCGGAGTATATTTTCTCCGATTCTCCGCCAGTGCAGCCGCTAAACAGACATCTAAGTATGCCCAAACCGAACCCTATGGCAACAACAATTTAACTTATCTTCTCTCACTGTCCATCTCTCCCTTGCAGTACCCAACAATACAAACGATGAGACGACTGGCTCCGCACAATTTGTGGAAAATTATAAACAACGCTTTGGCGAACCACATCCCGAGTTTTATGTGGGCAGTTTAGAGAACGCGCTGCGGCTGGCCTGTCACAAGCCCGCCAAGGAGGTAGTCTAACAAGTCCTTTCTAAAAAGTTGCCGAAAAAACTTAAATTTACTTTGTCTTTTAAGCGAAAATTGCTGGCAATTTATCTACATCACGGCGAGAGCATACTCACAAATGTATTCTGTGATCATCTCATGAAGGACGAGGCCATCATACAGACATTCAAGGCGAATTTTGTGCTCTACGGCTGGGACATGACGTACGAGAGCAACAAGGATATGTAGGCATACGAATTGAGTGGATTATTTGATTCACATATTAATTGGCATTATGTTTTATGCGCGTTCCAGGTTTCTGTCCTCGTTGACGGCCTGCATTAATAGCAACGCTTCCTTAACGGCCAGAAATATTAAACTTGACAAGCTGCCCGCCCTGATGCTAGTGGGCAAGAGTCGCCTCGAGGGCCGACAAACATGCGAGGTCTTATCTGTGATTCATGGTAAGGGACTTTGCCTAAACCCGACATTGTGAGTGGAATTTCATATAAAATTCTTGATCGCAGGCAACATAGGTCTGGTTGATTTGCAATCGCGCCTGATTGAGACAACGGTTATGTATGAGGAGCAGCTGCAGGGCGAAATACGGGAGGAGAACGAGCGTGCTGCGCGCGATCAGGTGAAGGCTGAGCAGGATATGGCATATGAGGAGACGCTACAAGCGGATATAGCCAAAGAGGCAGCTAAACGCCAAAAGGAGGCCGCTCAGGCCGCCGAACGCAAACGCATTGAATCCGAACAGGCCGAAGAAGACGCTAGGCGCGAGTCCATCAGATTAGTGGTAAATAAGACAAACTGTTATACTCCATATGTATACTGGCATATACTAACTGCATATTCTATATGTATTAGGCTACACAATCGTTACCTCAGGAGCCTGCCGAGCAAGAAGCAAACATTTCCAAAATACGCGTACGAAAGCCAACGGGAGAATTTTTGGAGCGTCGTTTTTTCACACGGGACACACTGCAGGTAAGATCTAATGGACTATCTTTTTGTATATATATATATATAGACTATACATATATGTTTTCTTGTTCAGGATCTATTGAACTTTATAACCGCCAATGGGTTTTTGATCGACGAGTACAAGGTCATTAGCAGTTGGCCGAGACGCGACTTAACGTCCATCGACGCTGGGCAAACGCTGGAAACGCTAAAACTATATCCGCAGGAAACGGTTATATTGGAGGAGCGATTTTGATTTTGATTATAAAATTAATTATGATATAATTAATTTTGATTCTGATTCTGTTCGTTTTGCGTTTAAAGCGTTCGTTCACATTACTGGGTTTAAGTTCTTCATTAATAATTGAAAAAAAAATTGAGTCTTGTATCTTTATGTTAACTTTAAATAGTGGAAGAAAAGGAAAACAGCAGCCAGATTATAATTGAGAAACATAAAGAACATAAAATCAAATGAAATAAGCATACTTAGCATCCATCATCTAGGAGAACGGCAAACTAAGAGTAAAAGTTTTTTACAATTATAATAATACTATAAAGTAAACAAAATTGAAACTAAAAGTAAAGGAAGCAGCAATAGTAGCACAGGCTGCCCGAGTATATGTATGTATGTCGCCCATCGCGATACCCCTACTTATCTAGGCCTCTCCTGCCACACACACACACACACCCACACACTCATACATATATACAACATTCTCAATATCTCTCTCTCACTCTGTCTCTCTCTCTTCAAATAGAGTTAGCGTTAGCGTTAGATAAGCATTGAAGGAAACGCATTTAAGTTGGCTTGTTTTACATTATCAATAATAAATTATATACATGTACTGAAACGTTACACTCTTGCGCTTAATTTACACATAACAACATAAAACGGGAACGAATTACACATGGTATAAAAAAATAATATGTTATAAAACAATTGAGCGTAGAAGCAGAGATTGTTAAGCGCTTATCTAATCCTAGCTGGCTGCCTGGGTTGCCTGATCTACTCGAAGAGCTTCTCAATGGGCGCCAGAGCCACGAGCAGAATGAGCACCACGACGAACAGGATGAGGACCACGCTGTAGACGCCGAGAAGACCCTTGCGCAGAGCCGCATACTGCAAGAGAAGAGATGCATAAGAGAACTGTGGAAGAGAAGACCAGAGAGGTAGAGTCGTCAACTTACCGGGGCATCCATTTTGCGCTCCATGCTCATGCCATTGCGCATGGCGTGCTGCTGATGGTGGGTCATGTCGCCCATTTGGAACGTGTTGATGCGCTGGCTCTGCTGGCGATCCGATGCGATGCCCGATATCTGCCAATGATTAATGCACAAGTAGATCTACATATTAATTGGACGTAGCCACTAGCTCCCTGGGGCGGACGAAGCATGCGATGAATTAGTATCATAATGGATGAACATTTAACAACAATCGCTGTACAACGGTCAATGCGAGGGACGAACACACTAAATCCTACATTTTATATACAGCTCTGGGGACAGATGATAGAGGGGACTCCAACCCAGATAGGCGACAGCCAACCCATACTTACGGAAAAGATGAGGTGGACGAGCACATGGAAGACCACAAAGCCAACCAGTATCCAGTCCATCCATTCAGGCAGCTCCGCCTTGGGCAGCTTCACAGAGAAGAAAATGGCAACAACTGCAATGAGAGGGAGTTAATCAGATCATCCTAAAATATACATCTCTCTCTCTCTCTCTCTATATATATATATACTAACTGGCTAGTATGTGCGCCAGATTGCCGCCCAGCCAGTGGCCCCAGTTGAAGTAGGGACGCTTCTTGTCATTGGGGCCGGGACGGAAGAGCGCTCCTATGGGCTGTATAAAGCAAAGGATGACCGTGATCAGGCCCGTTATGGAGTGAGCATGCCAGACGGCGCGCTTCAGCTCCACCCAGATGAGAATGTAGGCGACCACGGTGAGCGTCCAGGTGGTGACCATGAGCATGCGATGCCAGGCGAACCACTGATCCTTGCCGCAGGTCTGGCTGCCCACCCACGTCTGCTTGAAGTACCGCGCAAAGATGATGCCCAGCGAGGTGGTGCCGATCCAGGCGGCGATCATGAAGGCGCCATGCAGACGCACCAGCAGCTGACTGGAGCCACCGACATCCTGCACCACGGCCAGATTGATGGGACTGCCCGAGGGCAGGCGGCCAATGTCGTGGTAGCCCACGCTGTTCTCCTTCAGGCTGCTGCCAGAGGCGACGAGCATGTGGTAGGCGCCATTTCGCAAATCGAAGCTGCGTCCCTGCACCACAGTGAGTGGCTCGCGCTGCACCTTGCAATAGATGACGCCATCCACCAGCGATGCATTTAATAGACGCGCCGAGTTCTGAGGCTGCAAACGAGGAGAAACCATATATCAACTAACCAAATCCTTCCAGCTGCAGCAGCTGCACCTACCACATTGACCCGAACGGCGCTGTAGGGATTCGCCGAGGTGTAGGAGGAGTAGAGATTAATGCGTCCATTCTCGGGTACACATTCCGTGGTCAGATCTTCACCCATCTTGGCGTCATCCGACAGACCGAGCGCCACGTAGGCGGCATTGGTGCCTGGAAACCGAAGCAAACATTAAAAGGCTTTTCATTGGGATTGGGCATCCCATCCAGCACTTACCCTTGCCGGAGCGCAGCTCAAACTCATAGATGTCGCCACGCACCGTCACCGCCGAGACGGAGGTGCACGATTTGGTGGCCACACAGCCATTGGGAAAGCCAAAGCAGTTCTTGCTCTGACCACAGCCATCGTAGAAGCTATCCTCGCTGGCCGCCACTGCATTGGGCGCCACATAGCTGGGCGGCACATAGGGCGAACGGGTGCTGGCATAGTTAAAGTTGTTGTTGTTGGGCGAACTGGGCGTGGGCAGTGGTGCAGCTGACGAGACATCTCGTCGCACCACCTGCACGGGATTCGAGGGTATGCCTACCCAGAATTGATTGTACGACTGGGCAACTGTGGCGCTGTAGAGAGGGAGGGAAAGAGAGAGGAATGGGGAGAGTAAATGAAAGTCAATAAGCAAATCAAATTTAATCAATGAGTCCATTAAACAGCTAATCAGTCTGTCAATCAGTCCGTCAATCAGTCACTGTATGATCTGTCTATCATTTATTCAGTTGATCAGTCGGTTCATCAGGCAGTTAATCAGTCCGTCAATCAGTCTGTCGATCTGTCAGTCGATCGCTCAATCAGTTAAACATTCAATCACAAAATTAATTAAAAGTTTTTTTTTAAGTCGCCTACTAAAATTCTGTTTTTGACGTCAATCGGTCAATGCGTCAATCAGTTACCATCTCATACACTATAGAGCCTTATACATCACTTACTTGAACACCACTTGGCCGAGGAAGTCGACCGGGCTCTGCCAGTCGATGCTGACCTGGGGCTTGGGTCCGGCATTGCTGTGCGTGGCCGAGTTGTTGACGGAGTTCTCGCAGTTCATCAGCTTGACGGTGCCGTCGCGGCTGGGACTGAACTGGCCGACTATTTGGTAGGGTGGATTACGATTGCGCGCCTGGATCATGAAGCCGCCAAAGCTGAGACCCGCCGGCGCGCCGGTCACATCGATGCGCAGCGTCTGACCCTGGCCGACGACCGAGCTGGACGTCTCGATGCTAAAAGGCGAGACGCTGTTCTCTGGCAGCACCGAGCCGCCGGCATGGAACGGCAGCATTGTGTCGCACACCGTTTCCGGTGCACCTTGAGGCAAGGCCCACACCGAGTGGCAGCCGCAGCTGAGCAGCGCGCCGAGCGCAACGAGCAGCCAGCAGCGTTTGCGCACCAACAAATCCAACGCCAGCGTGGACAATGACATCTTTAAGCACCTGTCGGTTAGAGTTGGAGTGGAGACCATCATTAGCTTCTCAACCTGGCGAACCGTGTCCCCGCCTGAGCAAGTGCCTTATGTCATCTACTACTACCCACTGACTCAGTGACTGACAGCCAACCAGGCAGACAGACGGACAGACAGCCAGACTCGCTGACTGTTTAATTACCATGGCAAATCATAATTGCATTCCGCGATGCGTGTGCTTATCGTAGCATGTACTCGCAATATACTACTACATACGTACACACATACAAGCACAGCAAAAGTATGTTTTTTTTATCTGCGCTAATTGCAAAAAATCTACATAAAGTTTGCCAACTACTTTCGTAATGGCTATTTCTTATATGAAGGCAAAAAGTGATTCTTAACTCAGGTCAAAAAAAAAATAAAAATAAAAAAAAAAGTTAATAAATAAGAGTAAAAAATAGTATTAAAAAAAAAACACAAGATACCCTTATTTCCCATTTCCAATATGTAT